CCATGAGACTTAGACCTGAGTGCAACAATGGAGGGCTGTAGGCCCTTCCAGAGCTGAGATATCGAAACTCAAAATTTCGACTAGAAAAAAAAACGACAGTGGTACCCCTTTCGTTTTTTTTTTTCGGGCGAAAAATTAAGTATCCCCAATCTTCTCAAAACTCTGGATTCTGATAGAGGGCCATGCCACTTAGACCTGAGTGCAAAAATGGAGGCTCTAGACCCTTCCAGAACTGAGATATCGAAACTCAAAATTTCGACCAGAAAAAAAAAACCGACAGTGTTTTTTATTAAGTTTCCCCAATCTTCTCAAATCTTCTCAGACTTAGACCTGAGTGCAAAAATGGAGGCTCTAGACCCTTCCAGAGCTGAGATATTGAGATATTTAGAATGGCATAAATGCTACGTGGTAGTGATGTTACGTATGACACTGAAGCTTCGATGCGCGTATCACATATGCGACACAATTTCTAGTGAAGCCCCGTATCGGGGGTGTATTGGTTTTCCCAGAGTCATGTGATCGATGACAAATGAAGCCTCACTTTCTGTCCGATCACGTGCCAGTTTCGCTTTGGGTGTCAGAAGGCTATAAATATAATTCATTAACCCCAACACTGTGAAACAGCTTTTATTTCTAAATAAAAATAACTAAAAACTTTATCACCTTTCTGTCATTCCTACAGTTACATAAGCACTGTCACTGCCAAGTGTCATACATTTAAAGCAGATGATCCTATCAGACAATGTTCTTATTCATTATGTGTGTGTGAGTGTGTGTGTGTGTGCAGAGTGAGAGATAGAGTAGGCCTACATTAAATCTTATTGAATCATATAAGCTTATAGTATATTTTATTGTCACACTTTAATGGGAAAATTAATTTATTAAATGAACAAATCAAACACAAAAATGTAAGGTTTTTATTTATAACATTGAAACTCTGTAGTGTGTTATGGTTGCTTCATCTGCCAGAGCTTCTGGCTGCTTTATTTTAAATAAGCACCAGATGGCGCTGTTCTCGACACTCTCGAAGCTTTGAATCTTTTACCGGAACAGTCAGGTGAAAACCTCATTGCTTCATGAAGCTTCATTTCCCCATCCCTACTATGTGGTATCTCAATATCTCAGCTCTGGAAGGGTCTAGAGCCTCCATTTTTGCACTCAGGTCTAAGTCCCATGGCCCTCCATCAAAATCCAGAGTTTCAAGAAGATCAGAGAAACTCAAAATTTCGACCAGAAAAAAAAAACCCGACAGTGTTACCCCTGTCGTTTTTTTTTTTGGGTGCGAAAAAATAAGTTTCTCCAATCTTCTTGAAACTCTGGATTCTGATAGAGGGCCATGAGACGTAGACCTGAGTGCAAAAATGGAGGCTCTAGACCCTTCCAGAGCTGAGATATTGAGATATTTAGAATGGCATAAATGCTACGTAGTGATGTTACGTATGACACTGAAGCTTCGATGCGCGTATCACATATGCGACACAATTTCTAGTGAAGCCCCGTATCGGGGGTGTATTGGTTTTCCCAGAGTCATGTGATCGATGACAAATGAAGCCTCACTTTCTGTCCAATCACGTGCCAGTTTCACTTTGGGTGTCAGAAGGCTCGAACTCCAGATCTCATTTAACAAGTCAATGTTACCTCAGTCTGGTTGATGGGTGTTTGAGGAGAGTGCTGTACTTTGAAAGTTAATAAATATAATTCATTAACCCCAACACTGTGAAACAGCTTTTATTTCTAAATAAAAATAACTAAAAACTTCATCACCTTTCTGTCATTCCTACAGTTACATAAGCACTGTCACTGCCAAGTGTCATACATTTAAAGCAGATGATCCTATCAGACAATGTTCTTATTCATTATGTGTGTGTGAGTGTGTGTGTGTGCAGAGTGAGAGATAGAGTAGGCCTACATTAAATCTTATTGAATCATATAAGCTTATAGTATATTTTATTGTTACACTTTAATGGGAAAATTAATTTATTAAATGAACAAATAAAACACAAAAATGTAAGGTTTTTATTTGTATACGTAACATTGAAACTCTGTAGTGTGTTGTGGTTGCTTCATCTGCCAGAGTTTCTGGCTGCTTTATTTTAAATAAGCACCAGATGGCGCTGTTCCCGACACTCTCGAAGCTTTGAATCTTTTCCCGGAACAGTCAGGGGAAAGCCTCATTGCTTCGTGAAGCTTCATTTCCCCATCCCTACTACGTGGTATCTCAATATCTTAGCTCTGGAAGGGTCTAGAGCCTCCATTTTTGCACTCAGGTCTAAGTCCCATGGCCCTCTCTCAAATCCAGAGTTCCAAGAAGATCAGAGAAACTCAAAATTTCGACCAAAAAAAAAAAAAAAAAAAAAAAACGACAGTGTTACCCCTGTCGTTTTTTTTTTGGGTGCGAAAAAAATAAGTTTCTCCAATCTTCTTGAAACTCTGGATTCTGATAGAGGGCCATGAGACTTAGACCTGAGTGCAAAAATGGAGGCTCTAGACCCTTCCAGAGCTGAGATATTGAGATATTTATCATGTCATTTGCTACGTCGGATCTCAATATCTCAGCTCTGGAAGGGTCTAGAGCCTCCATTTTTGCACTCAGGTCTAAGTCCCATGGCCCTCCATCAAAATCCAGAGTTTCAAGAAGATCAGAGAAACTCAAAATTTCGACCAAAAAAATAAATAAAACAAAAACGACAGTAACACCCTGTCGTTTTTTTTTTTTTGGTGCGAAAAAATAAGTTTCTCCAATCTTCTTGAAACTCTGGATTCTGATAGAGGGCCATGGGGCTTAGACCTGAGTGCAAAAATGGAGGCTCTACACCCTTCCAGAGCTGAGATTTGAGATCCCACGTAGCATTTATGCCATTATAAATATCTTAATATCTCAGCTCTGGGAGGGTCTAGAGCCTCCTTTTTTGCACTCATGTCTAAGTCCCATGGCCCTCTCTCAAAATCCAGAGTTCCAAGAAGATCAGAGAAACTCAAAATTTCGACCAAAAAAAAAACAAAAAAAAAACGACAGTGTTGCCCCTGTCGTTTTTTTTTTGGGTGCGAAAAAATAAGTTTCTCCAATCTTATTGAAACTCTGGATTCTGATAGAGGGCCATGGGGCTTAGACCTGAGTGCAAAAATGGAGGCTCTACACCCTTCCAGAGCTGAGATATTGAGATCACGTAGCATTTATGCCATTATAAATATCTTAATATCTCAGCTCTGGAAGGGTCTAGAGCCTCCTTTTTTGCACTCATGTCTAAGTCCCATGGCCCTCTCTCAAAATCCAGAGTTCCAAGAAGATCAGAGAAACTCAAAATTTCGACCAAAAAAAAAAAAAAAAAAAAAAAAAAAACGACAGTGTTACCCCTGTCGTTTTTTTTTTGGCTGCGAAAAAATAAGTTTCTCCAATCTTCTTGAAACTCTGGATTCTTATAGAGGGCCATGGGACGTAGACCTGAGTGCAAAAATGGAGGCTCTAGACCCTTCCAGAGCTGAGATATTGAGATATTTATAATGTCATTTGCTACGTGGGATCTCAATATCTCAGCTCTGGAAGGGTCTAGAGCCTCCATTTTTGCACTCATGTCTAAGTCCCATGGCCCTCTCTCAAAATCCAGAGTTCCAAGAAGATCAGAGAAACTCAAAAATGACAAGGGTACTGTCGTTTTTTTCAGGGCAAGAAATTAAGTTTCTCCAATCTTCTTGAAACTCTGGATTCTGATAGAGGGCCATGAGACGTAGACCTGAGTGCAAAAATGGAGGCTCTAGACCCTTCCAGAGCTGAGATATTGAGATATTTATAATGGCATAAATTCTACGTGCACCTCAATATCTCAGCTCAGTAAGGGTATAAAGCCTCCATTTTTGCATCTCGTGGACTGCAGGCTTTAAACTAGGTGAAATGCTCCAGAAGTTAAAAAGGGGGGCTGACATGTGATGTCCATTGTAATGGACACAGTGTCTGAATGGGTTAATGCAATTTACGTTCACTTGAATTGTGGGTTTTTTTTTTGCTGGTCAAAAAATGACACTGCTGCATTTCCTGTGGATGGAGGGGATCTACTTGGTTCGCTGTCCCTTTAAACTGGCACGGTGCGCGCTCCTCCTCCCCTCCAGCACGGGCGCGCGCACCTGGATGGATTCTCATTGGGAGTGATTCGCTCCCATCCTCTGCTTTTACTAACAGCAAATAACAACTATAAACTTTTATCTCTTGCTATGAAAACTTGTTTTTAAAGAGCAATTAATGCGTTGTCATCTGTCACGCCAATATAAATTACTTTCTTTCGAAATGACGTTGGCAGTCGTTGGTTTCACCCTGTTTATCAGCATCATCGCCACCACGCCTGGTAAGTGCAAACCAATCCTCGTCTCTCTGCCCTGTTAAGTACTTTCTTGATAATGTTAGTGTGTTTAGCACCCTTTTTATAGTTTATTTATGAGTTATTATAGACTACATTGTGTGTTACTTTAGAGATGAGTTATTTTATTATCTAAAACCTATTTGTAATCGTTAATTATTTGAAGAGTTCAGATGCAAAAGCCTCTAAGTGCCATTTGAAATTTTCTTCTAGAATGATCATTTTTTATCAAGCTTGTATATTTAAGTTCAGTAATTTCACTTAAATGGCAATGATAATTACCTATTAATTGTTATTTAAGTGAAATTCATGAAGTTAAATATACAAGTTTGATAAAAATCATCATTAAAGAAGAAAGTTTCAAATGGCATTTAGAGGCTTTTGCATCTGAACTCTTCATTTATTATCAGAATGATCCATGTTTATGCCTTGCATACCGCACATATTAAACAACCCGGTATCACGACAAGACGTGAAATAATCACGTTGGTCCACTTTGGAAAACGTGTAGATGTCACGGTTTAACCCCCTCAAACGTGAAACTTACACGTTTGCGTTAACACGTTCTAGTGGAGAGATACCCGGATGTTGACCTCTTCTACACGCAATTGCCTCTGTCATAACAAAACGAGGAGCTGGCGGACGCCGGAAAATAGACGTTTTACTCGTTAAGCTACTTCATTAAAAACGTGACATTTAGACGTTTTTTTCGGCGTGGATCAAGGCAAATGAATCCTTTTCACCTTGAAAATAATAAATGTTTTTTTTTTCAGTTGTAAGTAATAGAACATTTCTCAGTGATCGTCAATAAAACAAAATTCCATTTTTCTCGGTTTAATGAAAACCAATAGGTCGTTATGGCAGAGGCGATTGCGTCTAAACAAAGTTCGTTTCGCTCTATCAGCAATAAGAAAATTCTAAATTATAAAAAATCTTATAGATGGATTATTTGATTTAGTCTACTATTTCAAAATTCTATTTGTTTGCTATATGTAGCTGATGAGTGCACTTGTCCTCAGTTGAGGTCAGTAAACAAATTGTGAAGGACGCAGTAAGCGGACTTCTGCTGACTGCCATGTCTATGAAAGTGTCTGGTTTCTGTATGTCCTTGTGTGTGTCATACAGTTAGTTTACTTATTAGTCTATGACTCTCAATTTTATTACTGATTGTTGTAGAAAATATATCAATAATGTAATGTATTATCTGTGTGTATTAGCAGCTAGAGAGTTTGTATCTCTGGCAGAAAGAGAAGATGCTCTGCTCAGGGACTTGTTTCAGGGGTACCAGCGCTGGGTCAGGCCTGTTCTGCATGCAAACCACTCTGTGAAGGTCCGCTTTGGCTTGAAGATATCTCAGCTAGTGGATGTGGTAAGACAAACATACAGATCCAGCTATTTTAAACTTCATTTGGAAGCCTAACTGTGACGGTACGCCGTTGGTATCTGTCCATGGTGCTGAAATACCGAAGCAGGAGCTGTCCATGGTGACCACTTATGAAGTCAATACATCTCTCTACATTAGGCATATATTAGGGGCATCTGATTCCTTAGAGTCTATAAAAAGAAATATTGTCTTACTGCTGCTCCCCTCCTCCAACTTTTTTTTCACATTCTCCTGGTTTTATTTTGCTTTGCTCTTTCTCTGAAAGGGTTTTGCTGTTCTGAAGACTCATATGATGGGAGTCTGAATTATTAAGAGCGCAGAGATCCAGTGTGCTTTCACATCTTTAACAGAGTGCACACACTCCCTCAGTGTACCTTTTGTTATTAAATTATACAAAATAAATTGACAAGAATTCAGCCTGAAGAAATTATATTTGCTAAGTGAATACTGCAGGTATTAATTTCATCTCGTGATTGCTAGTTCAAACAAATGCACATACACAAAAGCAGTATGATTTGCACAGAATGTGTTAAAGAGCCATCAAAATAAAGTGAAACCAAGGTTTTATCCATAGAGCACATTATTTGCAGCCATTAGAGTATTAGTAGAGTATTAGTGGCCATTAGAGTATTAGTAGACTGCTACGGTTAGGGTTAGAATAAGTTGACCTGTAGTTGCAAAGTTATACTCAGTAGAGTGTCTGTTGGAGGAGAATCACAATAAAGAGTCAGCGGAAATTAAGCAGACAGTCTACTAATACTCTAATGATAGTAAGTTGACATATAGTTGCAAAGTTACTTATAGTCAACAGCACGTTCAAATGGGACCATCAAAATAAAGTGTTACCAAAACCTTCAATGTATGATTCTGGCAGTCCTGAGTGAAATCAGTCAGCTTCAATGTGCATTTTATTAATGTGTCGACAAAACAAATCGGTAATAATAAACAAAGGTGCACTATTAGGGCTTATTGTTTCTCTCAATGATGATAATAAAAACAGATGACGTCAACTTACTGTTGTTACAGTACATGTGCACCTGGCAATTCGATTTACTTGATAAGGGCTCAGATGTGTCTGTTTGATGTTTTTGATTTAAAAACTGCCTGAAGGCACAGGTGCCCAAGTGCCTTGTAATTCAGAAGATGGCTTTGAAAGTGGTTTTGCTGGATGTTTATCAAAAGATATGGCCAATGATTTTGAGGGCTATGGCAAATAAATAAAGACAGCTATTATTATGTGGGCTCCAGTCACCACTCTTAACACCACTCTGACTCAACTGTCTCATAATCTAAGAAAAATAGGTATTAATATAAATCAATTTTTTTATTTATTTATTTTTTTATTGGTGTGTCTTCTGTAGTTCTTTGTGCTCTTTTTTGGTGTATTACAACATACTTTGGAAATGAGAATTTAGACTTGAGTTATGCAAAACAATCTCATGTATTGAATTTCACATACACTGTAAAAATGAATATGCTTTATCTAATCAATAGAATTGTGGCAACAGATTACAAGCAATATTAAATTAAATTTAAATAAATAAATAAATAAATAAATAAGACTAAGAGCGGTTCAAAAACCCCTTATGATGCAAATATATTCAAGGACCGTGACGTCGCCCGGTACGGCGCAGCCGGGGCCCCACCCTGGAGCCAGGCCCGGGGTTGGGGCTCGTATGCGAGCGCCTGGTGGCCGGGCCTCTCCCCACGGGGTCCGGCCGGGCTCAGCCCGAAGAAGCGACGTGGGACCGTCTTCCCGTGGGCTCACCACCTGCAGGAGGAGCCGTAAGGGGCTGGTGCAGAGAGGATTGGGCGGCAGTCGAAGGCAGGGGCCTCGGCGACCCGATCCCTGGACACAGAATCTAGCCTTAGGGATGTGGAACGTCACCTCACTGGCGGGGAAGGAGCCCGAGATTGTGCGTGAGGTTGAGAGGTTCCGACTAGAGATAGTCGGAATCACCTCTACGCATGGCTTGGGTTCTGGAACCACACTCCTTGAGAGAGGATGGACTCTTCACCACTCTGGAGTTGCCCATGGTGAGAGGCGGCGGGCTGGTGTGGGCTTGCTTATAGCCCCCCAGCTCAACCGCCATGTGTTGGAGTTTACCCCGGTGAACGAGAGGGTCGTTTCTCTGCGCCTACGGGTCGGGGATAGGTCTCTCACTGTCGTTTGTGCCTACGGGCCAAACGGCAGTGCAGAGTACCCAGCCTTCTTGGAGTCTCTGGGAGGGGTGCTGGAAAGTGCCCCAACTGGGGACTCCGTTGTTCTACTGGGGGACTTCAACGCTCACGTGGGTAACGACAGTGACACCTGGAGGGGCGTGATTGGGAGGAACGCCCCCCCCCGACCTGAACCCGAGTGGTGTTCAGTTATTGGACTTCTGTGCTAGTTACAGTTTGTCCATAACGAACACCATGTTCAAGCATAAGGGTGTCCACCAGTGCACGTGGCACCAGGACACCCTAGGTCGTAGGTCGATGATCGACTTTGTGGTCGTTTCATCTGACCTGCGGCCGTATGTCTTGGACACTCGGGTGAAGAGAGGGGCGGAGCTGTCAACTGATCACCACCTGGTGGTGAGTTGGATCCGATGGCGGGGGAGGAGGCTGGACGGACTCGGCAGACCCAAGCGTACTCTAAGGGTTTGCTGGGAACGTTTGGCCGAATCTCCTGTCAGAAAGATCTTCAACTCTCACCTCCGGCAGAGCTACAACCAGATCCCGAGGGAGGCTGGAGATATTGAGTCTGAGTGGACCATGTTCTCCACCTCCATTGTCGAAGCGGCTGCTCGGAGCTGTGGCCGTAAGGTCTCCGGTGCCTGTCGAGGCGGCAATCCCCGAACCCGGTGGTGGACACCGGAAGTAAAGGATGCCGTCAAGCTGAAGAAGGAGTCCTATCGGGCCTGGTTGGCTCGTGGGACTCCGGAGGCAGCTGACAGGTACCGGCAGGCCAAGCGGACTGCGGCCCGGGTGGTCGTGGAGGCAAAAACTCGGGCCTGGGAGGAGTTCGGTGAGGCCATGGAGAAGGACTATCGGCTGGCCTCGAAGAGATTCTGGCAAACTGTCCGGCGCCTCAGGAGGGGGAAACAGTCCCCTACCAATGCTGTTTAGAGTAGGGGTGGGCGGCTGTTGACCTCGACTGGGGATGTCGTCGGACAGTGGAAGGAATACTTCGAGGACCTCCTCAATCCCGCCGTCACGTCTTCCATTGAGGAAGCAGAGGCTGAGGGCTCAGGGGTGGACTCGTCCATCACCCTAGCTGAGGTCACCGAGGTAGTCAAGAAACTCCTCGGTGGCAAGGCACCGGGGGTGGATGAGATCCGCCCCGAATACCTCAAGTCTCTGGATGCTGTGGGGCTGTCTTGGTTGACACGCCTCTGCAGCATCGCATGGCGGTCGGGGACAGTGCCTCTGGGATGGCAGACCGGGGTGGTGGTTCCTCTTTTTAAGAAGGGGGACCGGAGGGTGTGTTCCAACTATAGGGGGGATCACACTTCTCAGCCTCCCTGGGAAAGTCTATGCCAGGGTACTGGAGAGGAGAATACGGCCGATAGTGGAACCTCGGATTCAGGAGGAACAGTGCGGTTTTCGTCCTGGCCGTGGAACACTGGACCAGCTCTATACTCTCTACAGGGTGCTGGAGGGTTCATGGGAGTTTGCCCAACCAGTCCACATGTGTTTTGTGGATTTGGATAAGGCATTCGACTGTGTCCCCCGAGGCGGCCTGTGGAGGGTGCTCCGGGAATATGGGGTCCGGGGTCCTTTGCTAAGGGCTGTCCAGTCCCTGTATGACCGAAGCAGGAGCTTGGTTCGCATTGCCGGTAGTAAGTCAGACTTCTTCCCAGTGCATGTTGGACTCCGGCAGGGCTGCCCTTTGTCGCCGGTTCTGTTCATAATTTTTATGGACAGAATTTCTAGGCGCAGCCAGGGGCCGGAGGGCGTCAGGTTTGGGGACCACACGATTTCGTCTCTGCTCTTCGCGGATGATGTTGTCGTGTTGGCCCCTTCATACCAGGACCTTCAGCATGCACTGGGACGGTTTGCAGCCGAGTGTGAAGCGGCTGGGATGAAAATAAGCACCTCCAAATCCGAGGCCATGGTCCTCAGCCGGAAAAGGGTGGCTTGCCCACTTCAGGTTGGTGGAGAGATCCTTCCTCAAGTGGAGGAGTTTAAGTATCTTGGGGTTTTGTTCACGAGTGAGGGAAGGATGGAACGGGAGATTGACAGACGGATCAGTGCAGCTTCAGCAGTAATGCGGTCGATGTACCGGTCTGTTGTGGTAAAGAAGGAGCTGAGCCGTAAGGCAAAGCTCTCGTTTTACCAGTCAATCTACGTTCCTACTCTCACCTATGGTCATGAGCTTTGGGTCATGACCGAAAGGACAAGATCCCGGATACAGGCCGCTGAAATGAGCTTTCTCCGCAGGGTGGCTGGGCGATACCTTAGAGATAGGGTGAGAAGTTCGGTCACTCGGGAGGAGCTCAGAGTAGAGCTGCTGCTCCTCCACATCGAGAGGGGTCAGCTGAGGTGGCTCGGGCATCTGTTCCGGATGCCTCCTGGACGCCTTCCTGGGGAGGTGTTCCGGGCACGTCCCACTGGGCGGAGGCCCCGGGGAAGACCTAGGACACGCTGGAGAGACTATGTCTCCCGGCTGGCCTGGGAACGCCTCGGTATCCCCCCAGAAGAGCTGGAGGAAGTGTCTAGGGAGAGGGAAGTCTGGGCATCTCTGCTTAGACTGCTGCCCCCGCGACCCGGCCCCGGATGAGCGGAAGAAGATGGATGGATGGATGGATTAAATTTATCAAATTAGAAGTGAGTAATAGTTAATCAAATTATTCCTTAAAAGTTAACCATTTAAAATGAGTGAACTTTACACTAAAAAATAATAAAAATATCTCACTAACAGACAGAGATCAAAGATTAATTAAGAACTCTTTATTTTATATTGCCAACATTGAAGACACCTGATGTTAACAAATAGAATCACTTAAGGAGAAAACTCATTTTAAAACAAACCTAAAACAAACACCGATATTGTCTTCAATTTATGTTTTTTTGGTTGTTGTAAATTTTACTCATTTTAAATGGTTAACTTTTAATTTGATTAATTATTACTCAATTCTAGTTTGTTAAATTTAATTAATAATATTGATTGTAATCTGTTGCCACAATTTTTTGATTAGATAAAGCATATTCATTTTTACAGTGTATATAGACCTTATGTAGCCCCGCCCCTTTTCAGCGTTGCGCTCGTTGTCTTTTGACTTCCGGTCTGTATTTTGACAACGATCTTGCACAGGTAACTGCTCATAAAAAAAATTCCCGGTCAACATTTGTTAAGACATCTGCTTTACAATGCTTATGATAAACATTACAATGCTCATGATAACTTTTGTTAACTACAATAAGTAAATCCACTTCACCAGCTAATTACTCCTCGACAGCGATGCCATAGAAAAATACAGAGCGACCGCGAAACTGGAAGTTCAAAGACAATATTCTAAAGATGACGGCGCCCACGTTTCTCTGGTGCATAAGGTCTATATCTCAGTTGTTTATGGTGTTTTCTTTCATTCTTCTCTTTTTATGAATTCAGGATGAGAAAAACCAACTCATGACCACTAATGTGTGGCTATGGCAGGTAAATAACCTCAAACATCCCTGTAAAAACGTTTTGCATGGTAAATTAATAATTTGCTGAACAGATAAATTAATTGGTTATATTCAAGTCAAAAGTATTTTTTGCCTTGATGTTATACAAAGAAATTATGAACACATGCAAAACCAAGATAGAACCAATGACATATGTCCCCTTGGAATTATAAGGTTCTATCTGACATTTGTCAAAATTGAGTTATTCACATATTCTTATTCTGTGACAACTTATTTTCGTTATATGATGTGTTTTTTTTTAAGTTGTGTTCATTGTGGGACTTTTTTATTGAAAAAACAAAAAGGTTCTATCTGCATGAGCCAATCAGCACTTCGAATGCAGGACCAATCAGAATCAACTTTATATGTCGGGTCGCCGGCTTTTTCCTTGAAGACAAGAAGAAACCCCATAAAGGCATAATGTTATAGATTTAGATTTAGGGGGCGCCCTGGAAGCTGACGAGGGCATGGCTGAATTAGAGCAGGAAGCCTCCAGGGCGGAGCAGGCTGAGGGCGTGACCAGAGCGGAGCAGGACGAGGGCATGGCAGAGCAGGCTGAGGGCTTGGCCAGGGCGGAGCAGGACGTGGACGTGGCAGAGCAGGCTGAGGGCGTGACCAGGACGGAGCAGGATGTGGGCGTGGAAGAACAGGCTGAGGGTGTGACCAGGGCAGAGCAGGACGTGGACGTGGCAGAGCAGGCTGAGGGCGTGGCCAGGGCAGAGCAGGATGTGGGCGTGGCAGAACAGGCTGAGGGTGTGACCAGGGCAGAGCAGGACATGGACGTGGCAGAGCAGGCTGAGGGCGTGGCCAGGGCGGAGAAGGCTGAGGGCATGACCAGGGCAGAGAAGAACGGGGACATGGCGGAGCAGGCTGAGGGCGTTTCCAGGGCGGAGCAGGCTGAGAGCGTTGCTAGGATGGTGAAGACCCTTCAGGCGGCCTCTGGCTGGACGGTCTTGGGCGTTGGAGTGGGGCTGGTGACATCATCGACAGTGAAGGATGATCCGCAGGATACCAGCACCCACTCCACAAATTGGGCAAAACTTCCTTGAGATGGTTCCCCAGACAACTGCGCTAGAGTGGTGTTGTTCAGTCCCACACGTGCAGAGGCAGTCATCTGGGAAACTGGTTTGAGTTACCAAATCCAGGAAAACCTCCAGGTGTTCCTCAAGAAAGCTGTTTCCCTGCTCAAGGCACATTAGACTTACTGCAGGGAAATCCATGTTTGGTCAGTTCTTCTGTCACAGTGTAGTGTGGAATGAAGACAGGCTGAGGCTGACGCAAAGCTCCAATACAAAACATTTACTCCAAAACTCCAAACAGGTACAAGGAAGACAGACAGAAGGTTACACACACATGAAACATAATCAAGAACTGACAAGCACAGAATGAAACAGAGAGAACTAAATACAGATACAAAATGAACACTAACAATGTGACGACAGGTGACACAGATGATCAGGACGATGAACAGGTGGATGATTGAGGGAGTGAGAGTGATTCAGGTGTGGAGACAAGAGGATGCTGGGAAGTGTAGTGAAGTTGACGAAGACAGAATGGTGCAGACAAAGACTGTGACAATTATATAGTTAGTGAATAATTTTTCAATGATTATTAAACTTTATGAATTAATTTGCTGAAGCATGTCGATTTTCTTGCAGTTTTTAAAGTTCTAAAATGTCTTAATTTTTACCATATTAAGGCTTATAAGTCAAATATTTAACAATTTAATTAATGGGGTCTTAATTACAACAATAAACGTTTGCATGTTATTTCAGCAATATTGAAAGAGAGAAAGCCATTTTACCTGGCCCACTTTTGCTGGAATAAAGTCCTGCTCGGATGTGGCTGCTTTCTGTCTAAGCAAAAGAAAGATTAAAGTATAATTTCTGCAATAATGTGTTTAATTACCAACCAAATTGGTCTCAAAAATGAAGATTATGCACTGGGGAAAATATTTAGACCTACCTAGCTTAATTTGAAATGTACATGGAAGTGCTAAAAAATATTAAATAAATGTCATAGAAGGGATATAATTTTACTTTCTAACACATGTTGAGACATTGTTACAACATTATTTTTTTAATTTAATGTTCAAATAATGTTTTGGCAGATAGAACCTTATAATTCTAAGTGAAAAGTGTTTTTTTTTTTTTTTTTTTTTTTAGAATTAGAAGGTTCTATCTGCATTTGACCCAATCCAAAAATCCCCATTTAGAAATTTGAGAGGATTTTGTATGTTTAGAATACATTTAGGGTCCCTGTTATTTTCATGTTTGAATGAAACTTGTTCCCCATATAAATTTTCCTATATGTAGTGCAAAAACTTTGAAGCTCAATATCTCAAAACTGCTCAGAACATAGACACAACCTTATAATTTCAAGGGGACGATAATGTAAACAACAAATTATGTTATAGTCAATGTATGCTTTTTCCTGTGAGCATTTAGCTTTTCTTTGCATTCTGCTGTTGCATAGAATAAAACCTGTAGCTGTTGTTTACCCTTTTTTGTCGAATAATTTTAGCAGATAAATACCTAAACCAAGTTAAGTGTTCTGTTCTTATTTAAAATATTGAAAAATATAAAATAATTTCTTCAAATTCTGATGGTACAAATCCCCAAACATACATATTATGTGTTTATTTCTAGAAACATGCATATGATGGAAAAGACTAAATGTAATGATGAAACAAACATTGGAAAATTGGATATGTTTGTCATAAGAAACTCTTTGTAGGAATGGCTGGATTATAAACTGCGTTGGAACCCTGATAATTATAGTGGCATCACCTCTATCAGAGTCCCGTCAGAGACCGTCTGGCTCCCAGACATTGTTTTATATGAGAAGTAAGTTTGTGTGGCTATCTAATACAACAATAATTCATCAATTTGGAATATTTAACATGTCTTCCTCTCCACTCACTTTTAGCGCTGATGGACGTTTTGAAGGCTCACTTATGACCAAAGTCATTGTGAGGCACAATGGCATGATCACTTGGACCCCTCCTTCTAGCTACAAATCAGCCTGCACCATGGATGTGACGTTCTTCCCGTTCGATCGCCAGAACTGCTCTATGAAGTTTGGCTCTTGGACATATGATGGAAACATGGTTGAACTAGTGCTCCTCAACCAGCAGGTGGACAGAAGGGACTTCTTCGATAATGGCGAATGGGAGATTCTCAGTGCGACAGGGGTCAAAGGAAGCCGGCGAGATGGCCACCTCTTCTACCCGTACATCACGTATTCGTTCATCCTGAAACGTCTTCCTCTCTTCTACACACTCTTTCTTATTATTCCATGCCTCGGCTTGTCCTTCCTAACAGTGCTGGTTTTCTACCTTCCATCCGACGAAGGGGAAAAGGTCTCCCTCTCCACCTCCGTCCTGGTGTCTCTCACCGTCTTCCTCCTCGTCATTGATGAGATCATCCCTTCTTCCTCTAAGGTCATCCCGCTGATTGGGGAGTACCTGCTTTTTATCATGATCTTTGTCACTCTCTCCATCATCGTGACAGTGTTTGTCATCAACGTGCACCACCGCTCTTCAGCTTCTTACCATCCGATGTCTCCATGGGTGCGTACGCTGTTCCTCCAGCGACTGCCACATTTGCTCTGCATGAGGGGGAACACGGACCGCTATCAGAACCCAGAGCTGGAGCCCCACAGCCCTGACCTGAAACCCAGGAACAAGAAAGGCCCTGAAGGAGAAGGCCAGGCTCTGATCAATATGCTGGAGCAAGCCACCAACTCGGTTCACTACATCTCAAGTCACATTAAGAAGGAGCATTTTATTAGAGAGGTAAGGACTTGAAAATGTCTTAAGATGAATGTAAAATGAATGACTGCAAATATTAATAGAAACAAAGCTATTTTTAGATATACCTTATAGTTTAAGTTCAGTTGTCACAAACTTTCAAATAACAAACAAATAAACATTTTATTCAGAAAGGATGCAATACATTGTTCAAAGTGACAGTAAAGACATAAAAGATTTCTATTTGAAATAAATGCTGTTATTTTCACCTTTCTATCTATTAAAAAATTTTTCCACTAAAATATTTTAAAAACATAAAAATGACCACAAGTTTAACAGTATAGTGTTTAAATCTAAATATATTTATATTGTCCTAAACATATTTAAAAGTGCAATTTGCATTTGCCCAAAATTATAATTTTTTTTAATCGAATCTTTACTCAATAACATTCTGTAGTATATTTTGGCATTTGAAAATTTATAAACAAAAAATATAAAAAAATTTATAAAACTATTTTCTGTTTGAAAAAAAAAATTCTTAAGCTGCACTGAATACTTTATATATTTACCATATATTTTGGCCAGAAAATATATTTTATAAAGTTAATGATGTTTTGCAGTAATAAGGTTCCTCTGGCATATACTGTTGATGCAAAGGATAAAGTCAGGAATAAAAATGTTAATGCTAATCAAGGGTTATGCCAGCCGTGACAGTTATGATGCAATGCATATTACAATAAGGTCCCAATAGTTGCATTAACTAACACTAAATAACACTGAGAAATACATGTGTTACAGCATTAATAATAATAATGCAACTGTTCATTGTTAATTCATGTTCACTTCCATTAAATAATATTATCAGATACAAACTTTGATTTGAATAATATAGTGGTTGAAATGAACCAAGATTAATACACGCTTTAGTATTTACTTTGTAATACTTAGAAAGTATTTTTCATGGTTAGTTCCTGTTAACTTATGGAACCTTATTGTAAAGTGTTAGTGAATCCTTTGGCTCTTGCAGGTAGTACAGGACTGGAAGTTTGTGGCCCAGGTGCTGGACAGGATTTTCCTCTGGGCATTCCTCACTGTATCTGTTCTTGGCACCATTCTCATCTTTACACCTGCCCTGAAGATGTTCCTGAGCACCCCCCCACCTCCTTCTCCATGAGACGTCCAGAATTACAGTCAAATCCATCACATTACAAAAGGGAATATTATTGTGCTTCCAATAATAGTGAAGACAGTGCACATTACTATGTAGAAGTAATTTGTTCTTTCACTGCATTAAATAATCAGATGTATGATTAACATCATAAGATGCCCAATAATGTGCAGAGTAGCATCACCTGTCCTAAGTGATTCAATATGCTGTTTACAACTTTATTTTGTAAGACATCTGTTGTTTGTTGATAATTCAGTTATTATTATTATTTTTATTTATTTATAGACAATATTAAAAAACAGTTTACAAAAAAAAGCTAATATTTTTTGTTGACCTGTGCAGAAAAACAATTCCACAGAATCAGAAGACCATCTTTTTGTCCATCTTTAAAAAGACACACCTCTGTTTGGTCATACTTTCCTCTCTTAATTTTTAACCACTCTTCTCTTTGGCACATGTGGAATAATTAAAGCATTCAAACTGAGGAGCACAAAAAAATACAACACGGTTCAGTCAAAAACAGCAGTATTTAACACCTTTTTAAAAACTACACTTGTTTTTTTTTATTATTTATTATTATTTATTATTTTTTAATTATTTTTTATTGTTATTTGTATCTAAAATGTAACAGTATTAATTGCTTCTGGTAAATCAAATATTAGTTTTAATTAAGATGTTGTATGAAAATGGTCACCTTACCTTCCATAACAAGTAGAAGAGCAAAGCTAGAAACAGCAGTGCTGTCAGAATGCTGAGCAGAATGACCCACCACGGGACTCGACTGAGCAGAGCAGGCTTGCTTTCACGAAAAACAGTTAGCTTCACCTATATCAGTCATAAAAACACTGAGTGAGCTTTGCCTAATACACTTTTTATTAATCACTACTACTACTACATCAAATAGAATGATGTAGTAGAATATCTACATGACACGTTACCTTAGTATTGGATGGCTGAATCCCAATATTCTCCTGAGTCCCATTAAGGGTCAGAGATGCATCCAGTACAATATCCAAGTAGTTCAACAAGTTATACTCCTGTAAAAGAAGCCATGTGGTCAATTATCTTAGTTATAATACATTTGTTGCCAGTGGACAGTAACATAGTGCATTTACTTGAGTACTGTACTAAAGTACACTTTTTGAGTCTCTGTACTTTACTTGAGTATTTTTATTTTTTCTGGAAACCTTTTACTTTAACTTCACTACATTTGAAAGACAAATATAATACTTTTTACTCCACTACATTTCTGTCAAGTTCCTTGAGTAGAAAGTGGTAACGTCATTCAAAGTATATGACTTTGGTTGCAGGGGTTGTTGGGTTTGGTCGTCTAAATGGGAATCATTGTTTTGGAGCACACTAGCTTTTAGATAAGAGTAAGGAACATAGCCTATACTAAAAGCCAAAACACTTTAAATAGGGCACTATTTGAGGGAACAGCCATTTGGGTGTCCAAAACCATTGTGGACGTTATTGCTGAGTGAACCTATTCAATCTCACATTCAATCCCACTACTGGAACTGTGTTAAAAATAAATTTGATTGAGGGTAGATCAGGCATAGGCATAGATTCAGAGGTATTATTGTAAGTATTAAACACAAAAATGCAACAATAATAAAACAATAATAAAACAGTGAATTTACTTTTAAAAACAAGCAAGAGTATCATTTTCATTTTTGGGTGAACTAACACTTAAAAAAAATCTTGTAAATTATTATCTGGAAATAGCACACATGCATATGCTACCACAACTTTCAAATATTAAGGAATATGCTACATAGATTGAGCAAGCAGCATTTTTTACACATATGCTACTAAACCAAATGAAATGCTGTAGCATTTCATTCTACTAAACCAAATGAAATGCTGTCATTTGAATTGAAAATAAAACGTATCTTTCAGTTCGAGTTATTTTTTTCTATTACGTGCAATAAACATTCAATATTATTCAAATGAACATCGATTCATTCTGTAAATTTCACTGTTAAGTCTTACAGTGCAGAACTAAATAAAGAATGTCAGCAAGTGTACCTCAAGAAAAGTATTGTTCCATAAGCGAGCATGAAGGACGATGCCTGCAGTGCTGTCCAGTGCCTCAAGAGGGCACTTTATCTCCACACATTTTAAGTCGTCAGCACACGTCTGGGGCGGCAACATGAAAGGTAGAGATACATTTACAAGAACTCTACTTTAAAACCTTTGATATACGTTTTAAAGTTACAAGATATAGTACATAACTAGTGATAATAGTAAAATGAAAATAAAGCAGTGGTCAGTGGAATTGTATAAAATCACGTGTAAAGTGAAATTACCAGAGTTTTATACTTTCTTTTGTTGCCCAAAAAGGGAAAAAAATCAGTAGTGGAGGCAAGAGCCTTCTGGCCTGATTCACGCTCTAGTTCACGCCTTCCTCTGGATGACGCCTAAGAAGTGAGCACATAGAATCAGTGACCTCTCCCACAGTGCCAGAAGTCATATTATGTCGGAGTCTCAAGAATTTATCATTCATCAAATACAAAAAGCTTCAAAGTAGAACCAGCGGGAGCTGATGTTAATAATTGATAGTTATTTAACTTTATATCCCATAAAGGAATTACCTTGATAAATCTGAGTGGGTTTATAGCCTCTGATGGTGTGCAGTGAATAATATTCTTTCCTAGATCGCTGATTTGCACAAGGTACATGAGCCATTTTCCCTCCGTGGTTGCTTTTGGCCACTGAATGTTCAGCACTGCAGAACCGAAGGACTTTAGAGGCCGACCAATGTTAATAATCTGATGAAAGTACAAGCACAAAATGCACAAAATCAGCAGGCTTTTAATTGTGCTAGACCCAATGAGTATAATATACATCTAAATACTGTATATTTACAGACATAAATGCAATAGCACTCTTTGTGATAAGCTACTGAATTATTTTTGATTGGAGATATAAATATGATAATATCTACATTTATTATAACCATTCATTATTATAACCATTCATTTTGTAAACCTAGCAACTAGCAATTGTAGCAAGGGATTATGCCGGATTAAATTACAGTTAATGAATAGTAAAACAGAGAAATTCGTCACTGTAAAATTAGGGGGACTGAGACACCAACCCTGAACTCATACTGGACCAAAGAGCCAATATCATCTTCTGATTTCATTGATTTATCATCTTTCGCTTTTCCTCCAAAGTACAACTGGGAAGGTTTGGCAACACTGCAAAGACAAAATACATCATAAAACAACTATTCAGTATGCTTTTGTGTTTTTAAGAAATGCAAGTCACATGGCAGGATCACATGACAAACAGGGAAACACATGACAGACATGGAACATGACATGAACAAACCAAAAACATGACAAAAGTTCAATGGAACAACATTAATTTGAAATCTTTTGACCGATTTAATGCGTTCTGGCTAAATAAAAAAGGCGAAAAAAAGGCGAAAAAAATGCAAACATTTTCATGCAGACATTATCTTTTTTTTAAGACAATTAATTAGACTTACCCAGTGACATTCAGATGCAGTTCAAAGATAATTTTTGCTTCTGCAACAATTATTGGAATATCTTGAATGCTAATCCTATTGAAAAAAAAAATATTGGGTTTCCAGGTTTTAAAGATTAGTTCTCTTTTTTTTAAAAAAACAAACAACTTTTGCTGAAAATCTACTCACCCCCATGTCTTTCTTTCTTCAGTCGAAAATACATTTTTGATGAAAACATTACAGAATTTTTCTCCATAGGGGCCCCAACCGTTTCAAGGTCCAAATGACAGAACGAACGAAATGAACAAAATGACTCGAAAAAAGATTTGTTCATTTTGATGAACGAGTTCGAACAGGAGAGTCACGAATGCACATCACAGAACAGAGCAAGGCGAGCATTTGTGCTTATAAAACTTAAACTTTTTAATTTATTTTTTAAATGAGCGATCGTTTCACTAGATAGGACCCTTATTCATCGTCTAGTATTGTTTAAAGCACTTTGAATCTGCACTGAAACTCTCATTTGGACCATTGGACCTCATTTGGAAGTCCATCATATGGAGAAAAAAAATCCTGCAATGTTTTCATCAAAAACTTGAATTTCGACTGAAGAAGGAAGAAAGACACGGACATCTTGGATGACATGGGGTGAGTAAATTATCAAATTATCAGCAAAAGTTTTTTTTTTTTTTTTTTTTTTAAATAAGTGAACTAATCGTTTAATGGGACTTTCCACAGATTTATATATTAATCAAACTTTGTATTTTATCATCTAACTCTACACCCACCTGTGAATCATTGTCAGGGTTTACCAGGAGAAACAAACACACACTAAAACTTCATTAGCTTTTAAACTTTTTTTCTTGCAATAAAACTCTATAGTAACACTTCGATAAATGTATAGAGGTGATTAAATGTTAAACTAGAGATACCTAGAAGATACCATCAGAGCTAGACTCTTCTTACGTTTTAAGGGACATAGTCACATTAGCGCCTGTCACTTTCAAGGAAAGCCTTTCCGTGTTTAGTATCAGGTAGAAAGAAACCTGAAAGTGTTGAAAATAACCTAGATTAGGAGACTGGCAGATTTGATTATAGTGAAAGCATGCTTTAGGGGTTGATAGAATTTGAATTACTCTTCACACCTCCGAGTCTCTTTTAAAAGGATTTCCAAGTTGGCAGTCAGCCTGTGTCTTGTGCTCATTGGGGTTACACTGCACCTGGGCTTCCTACACAGTGATAAAATCAAAAGCAAATGATATTTGAAAACATCTATAAGCAAAATCTGAAACAGTGTACACAAAAAAGGTGCATAATCAAGTGAATTTAATTTAAAAAATGTACTTGAATGAAATCGATTGTTTTGTCAGGTTTACTTGACAAGTGTTTGTCCAGTCAGTGTTTAGTGAGTGAAATGATAAATATAAGACAGAATGAGAAAATCACAATGAGCAACATTGTAAAATTTTACATTTTAAGAACCAAAACAATGAATGCATTAACTTATATTTGGCATTCTAACATGTACCATACAACTTTACACAGCTGTATTGAACAACTTGAGACTTTTTTTTAATCCAACCTTCTATTTTTTCGAGTGTACAAGTATATGCTTGAATTATATGACATTCCTTTTAAACAGAGCATTATGCAAATATTACAGTAAAAGGCAAAACACGATCAGACTTGTTGATATAAAGTTGTTAAGAATATTTTTTTAATGAAATAGGACACTCACACTATTCTTCTTTGGCACGACTGATGATAGGTGCAGAAATTCTGGAAACGTCACAGACAGTTGACTCTGGTGTGCATCTTCTCCTCCTATGTTGGTTACAGTGACCTGCAGGGCGACGTTCTCATCACCAGGAGAAATGACAGGAACACCATTTTCCCTTCAACACGCAAAGATACAACCAAATTCAGCAATTCCAAGGAAGGCTTCTTAAGTCTATATCACAAGAAGGCCAAACACCTGCCAAATATTTAGCTAATATGCAATATGCATTACACAATATGATTATTACTTGATGCAATGGATTTGCACACTAGACCTCCGATATATTTAAAATCATGATTTGGTCAGTTACAGCAACAAAACTTTGGCTACAAAGTGCATGCCCAAATATCAATCATATGGTCTTTGAAATGTAAAAAAAAAAAAAAAAAAAATAGTAGTGTGCTGTTCTAAATCTTGCACAAGCCACATAGATAATTATATTACATGGACAGAGGGTCACATTTTTCTTGTTGTTGGTCTTTGGTGCAGAAGGTATACTGGAGCTGCAGGTTACTGTGGCAGATGTTGTCACTTCCACAGTCGGCATTCATAAAGGTGACCTGGGAGATAAGAGGTTTGTGGAAAAGAAAGCTGTGTTTGAGACACTGGGATTTTACAGCAATAAAGGAAGTGATATTGCAATATACCTTTGCTTTGGTTGTGTTTTCTTGTAGAGCGTTTAGAACTGGCTCCAAATCTGGGAGGTTTCTGATTGTCTGTTTTGGATTGTCAGATGGCAAAGAAATAGATAAGCTGATGGAAATGCTGGTCAGCTTGTCCTGGATATCTCCCTAAAATACAGTACAATGTTTTTTAATCATACATTCTCACTTTTCAGTTCTTTAAACCAGCAAATCAGAGTATGAGTAGATAGTACCAGCAGCCTGAGCTTGGTCTGGACACACTCTCGTTTGCCCTGGCCAGGCAGTTCCAGGTCTCCCTGCGCAGACTCAGAATTCACAAAGACCACTCGTGAAGGAAGACCCCTCTCTCTGCGCACTGTATCAGCCTTTAGCTTGTACTCGATCCCTACAGAAAGGTGACTATTAAATGCAAAAATTTCAAGGAATCGCTTTGACGTGCTGCTGTCTGCCAACTTGCCAAGTTATAATAACTAATCAAACACACCCAGCTGGAATGACAGATTGCTGTGGGACATTCATTCTTGTTTTGATATTTAATGCAGTATGTAGAACAGAAAATAGACTCACTCAGTTTGGGATTGTATGCAGCTGGCTGGGCAGTGTAAGTGAAACAGGACTGAGCTGTAATAATGCTAAAAGATTTTCCCAAAAAAAAAAAAAAAAAATAGATGAAAGAAACAAAAAGAAATAACGATAAAAAAATAATATGTTTTTAAAATTATACTGTATATGTGTGTGTGTGTGTGTGTGTGTGTGTATAACATATGTATATAACTGTGTGTTAATATTTGTAACTCAAATTAGGATTTTATATATATATATATATATATATATATATATATATATATATATATATCTACCGGTCAAAAGTTTTAGACCGGTAAGATTTTTTATGTTTTTAAAAGAAGTCTCTTCTGCTCACCAAGGCTGCAATTATTTGATAAAAATTCAAAAAACAAAACAAAAAAACAAACAAAAACAAAACAGTAGTATTGTGAAATATTATTACAATTTAAAACAGCGGTTTTATATGTGACTATATAGTGAAGTGTAATTTATTCCTGTGATCAAAGCTGAATTTACAGCATCATTCTTCAGTGTCTTCAGTGTCACGTGATCCTACATAAATTATTATAATATGATGCTCAAGAAACATTTGATTATTATCCATGTTGAAAACAGTTTTTTTACATTTTTATTTCAGGATTCTATGATGAATAGAAAGTTCAAAAGAACAGAATTGATCTGAAATGGAAAGCTTTTGTAACATTAATCACTACCATTCAAAAGTTTGGGGTAAGTAAGAATTTATTTACTATTTTTTGGGGAAAGAAATTAGAAAATACTTTTATTCATCAAGGATGAGTTAAATTGATCAAAGGTTACAGTAAAGACATTTATAATGTTAGAAAAGATTATATTTTAGATAAATGCTGTTCTTTTGAACTTTCTATTCATCATAGAATTTTGGGGGAAAATGGTACACGACTTTTCAACATTGAAAATAATAATTTATGTTTTTTGAGCATAAAATCAGCAATTAGAATGATTTCTGAAGGATCATGTGACACTGAAAACTGATGTGTAATCAGCAACAGTAATGATGTTGAAAATTCAGCTTCCAAATTACTTTTTAAAATATATTAAAATAGAAAACAGTCATTTTAAATTGTCATAATATTTCACAATATTACTGTTTGTCATTTTTTTTTTTATCAATTAAAGCAGCCTTGATGAGCAGAACAGACTTCATTTAAAAACATAAAAAATCTTACTGATCTAAAAATTGACCGGTAGTGTATATATATATATATATATATATATATATATATATGTGTGTGTGTGTGTGTGTGTGTGTTAATCTTAGTGATAGATTTTGCTGTTCTCTCACCATGGATATCTCTTGCAGTCCTGTGCCTTGAAGTCAATTTTATTCGGTGTTAATGTCAGCGTCTTTTCTATGTTTACCACTGGTTTAGTCCTTAAAAATAAGAACATATTATTTATTAATAATATTAACTTAATTCATTTAGAATTCTAAAATGTACAGATCCTACAAAATGATATTTAATGAAAGTATATTTGTTGGGTGTGTCTGGTTATTTTTTCACTTCATATGATGAATGAGACACTTCATATGATGCGATGAATGATCTTTTGAAAGCAAAAGATTGAATATATATATATATATATATATATATATATATATAGAGAGTGGAAAACATCCAACCTGTAAATCAGCACAGTATCTGAAAGTGAACCCACAGCAAGGTCTGGATAGCCGTTACCGTCCATATCCATGTTTCCAGCCATGGAATAGCCAAACAATTTAATACCGTGGTCTCCAGCCTCTAAAACCTGTAAACAGAGATTGTTTTAACACTCTGAAGTCACTTTGAAAAAAGTTATTATATTATTATAATATGATATAAAATATTATAACATATAATCTGTAATATTTTGTAAATATAATATGAAATTAAAAAGTGTTAAAAATATAATTTAAATATAATTTAAATTTAAAGCAAAATAAATGATAAAAATGTATATTGTAGAGTTTATAATTATGCGAGTCCTTTCACGAACCTCTGGTTTCTGATGAAAGCCTGCAGCTGAACCATGATATATGTACACTCGGCCTCTCCCTTTATTCTCATTGGGAGCACTCACTGCAAAATCTGTTCATCAGAAAAGATCATCTATCAGATGTACTATAAAACTGAGGCTCAAGACTGAAGTATATATAACCTTTTGTTCAACCTTGGTATCCATCTTGATTTATATCCCCAATGTGTGCCACTGCTAGTCCAAACATGGAGTCCCTTTTCCCGTACAGACACACTGGTTCGATTTGGTTCCAGCGTTGTCCATTGGCCTGGTTGATGTAAATGTACACGGCCCCTCCAACATCTTCATCCATGTTTTTCGCAGAGAACTCAGGTGCACCCACCACAATGTCATCCCACCTGAGTCAATGAGAACATTGTCATTTCCAATAAAGACTAAACTTGTAAAACAATAACTACCTGTGATTACATAAGAAACTTTACAATCACATTCTGTTTAGTCATAATTGTCTCACCCATCTGCGTTTAAGTCAAGAACAGCGAGGTCATAGCCAAAGGAGGAGGCCAAACCGGGACCTCGAAGGATATGTTCAGCTTTCAAGTTTCTCATTTCTGCCTTTTCATCCGGTCTGAGCAACAAAACCTCCCCACTGTGGTATGAGCGTGGAGCCCCCGCCACAACATTCAACTCTCCTTTCTTCGTGAGGTTCATCCCAGTATCTAAAGCAAAGCCTGAGAAATAACAGAAGGAAAACTGTTTATAAATAGATGCTATCAGATTTAAGAGTCATAAAATACTTATTTTATCATTAAATGTTTCCCCTGAAGTCCACTAATACTCACTAGTAAGTTACAGTATGACTAAAAATGTATTCCTCATTTTATAATTGCTAATGTATTGCTAACTACTGCATCAAGATTTACAGTAATATATTTATTTTGAACAGATCTGCATTCTAGACAATTGTGCTATAGATTGGCCTCTGGTACACAGGTTGACTGTGATGAGTGATCACCTAAAAAGCTGCTGATGTCCACAGGAATAAGCTTGTGTTGTTGTTGGTTATGATCTCCTGTTTCATAGATCTCTAGAGAGAAGTCATCTACAGGCTCCATATGCACAATGCCTTAAGTGTGAGAAGTCATCATTATAAACGATAGGTTGTGAGGTTATACTCAATATTACAGACTTTCCTGTTAATGTAAGTGTGAAGTAAAACATTATAAATAAAAAAAGCTTTGCAATACCTTTCCAGTCATAGGCTCCTGGAGCTCCATACACAAGATATTTGCTGTCTTTGGAAAACGCTACAGAGAGACCCTGTTGACAGTATCCAAACTTGCGCTTATCTGATTCCCGATTCCTACAAATTGATCTTGTGCTCAATCCATCCTTCACCAATGTAAGGTCCTGTTCCAGGACAAAACATCTACCCAATAACCGCTGGTTGGTAAAACTCCAATCCTGGTACCTGTGGGCACAAGTCTAAATAAAACAGAGCATATTCATTACACATATTAAAACATATGATAACATATGTCCACAAATACAGAGTTTTGAGGTGTCACCTTAAAATAGTTTCACAATAAATTAGAACCAGTTAAACTGAAAAGCACACGTTACCACTACTTTGCCTCCTCGGCCCTGGCTTTGGACACGAACACCTAGCCATTGGTTTTCTCTATAGTCTACTCCTGTCCTATCCTTAGGACGAGCTGCCGGTATAGAAAAGTGAGTTTAGGGATACTTAAACTGCTTGTATTATTAAATAATACACATAATAAAAAAGTGTTTGATCATTACAAGATTGAGAAATAAAGAAACAAAACATAAATCAAGTAAACCACAACAAACCTTCTGTATCAACAGCAATGCGTTCACAGTCATCAGATTGTATTGTGAATTTGCATTTGTACAGACCTCCAGATATATTGGCATTTTGAACGGGAAATGCTCTAGCACGAGGCGCTCCAATCAGCAATCTGAAGATGCAAGTAATGTCAATAGATAGATTTTATAGAATTTAATAATATTGAATTTTAACAATATCTAATTATTAAAATTCATAGCTACAAATTGTAGCCTATACGAATGCATGTATATATATATATATATATATATATATATATATATATATATATATATATCGTAATATTTAAACAATTATCAAAGAAAATGTTTCTCACACGCGCTCCTCTGCAGGTTTGAGCTGATGGTGCATGGCCATAGAAAACCCAAACGAAGTGTTTGCTTCTCCACGCTTCTTTATCACGTTCTGTGTGTCCAGGTTAAAAGCAGAAACCTGCGGTGGCCGAAACATCCACGCGGTCAGGAGGAGACTCCACTGACTGAACAACATGATGATGGACCTCTCTGGAGCTGGAAATGAGCTAAGAGATCTATTCCAGAAGAAAAAAATATCACTGTAGGGTGAGGCGATTTGACAAATATATAGCCTTGGCTGATTTATGTTCTCAGGGCGTGGATAAGACCAACTGTACTACAGTAAAGAAAGTTAATGTTTACCTGCAAAGGAAACGTTAACACACGCCCTTTAATCCTCAATCATATCCTGTGAGTTTAGTCAAGTTCAAGATAAGAATCAACATGTTACGAAGGTGCAATTTGCGATGAGAAAGACACCCCAGAGACATGATAAAAACAAACAAAACCTAGGCCTATAACTATCTACCTCGAAGCCATCTACTATGTGTTTTTGTTTTGTTTTGTCTAAATGCAAATAAAAATTGGTTTTGTCAGGACAGATAAAAGACATTGCACCAAAAGATGGCGCTAGAGATTTTCAGACTGGATTGTCGACTGTAGCAATTGATTTCCACAATAGGAAAAGAAAAATACTATGCAAGTCAATGGCTACAATCTGTCTGTTAACCATTATTCTTTAAAATATCTTATTTTTTAGGTATAAAATATCTTATTTTAGGCATTTTAGGTTTTACAGATGTTTAAAGTAATTTTACAGCAATAAACTGTATTTTATTATGTGATGTAGTGTTAACTTACTGACCTTTTGAATTAATAATATTTGTTTTGTTCCATATACACCAACAGCCAATAATCACAACAGTAATGAGAGTCGAACGATCAATATGCTTATCATAAGCAGTTCTTCCACAATAAAGCTTTTTCAAATTAGACACTGCACAGTGCCATTCACACAAACATTAAACACCATCATGGTAACATGTTGAAATTTATTAATTTAGCATTAATTTAACAACATTAAATGTAACATTAAACCCCAATGCACATAACTGATTTGAAAAACACTAAGAAAATGATGAATAAACAGTTACTTACAAAAAACAAAATATTAAATGTCGTGTCACGCAGGGAATTTCTTCACTGTAAATTATACAATGACTTGTTCTTTTTCACTTCCAAAAACTGAAAATTTAACGGTGATTTATTAAATGTACCATATATCACAGTTATTTAGCGTATATAGCAAGGAAACTTCTGTAAACAAATTATCAGGTTTTTACTGTTGAAATCACAATATTTTTTTTTACAGTGTGCCATGATGACTGCAAAATGACACAATTGTAAGTTGTATTCATTTATTTCTTTTAAAATAAAATGAAAAAGTGAAAACTTACCCCAACTCTACATAGGAAAAATACCCCTAAAATGTTTAAATTGAATGGGTTAAAATATATAAAAAAACATTATTGTTTATTTTGGTCTAAATGGACACTATTGTGGTGGGTTTGTGTATGTAACTATAATGAGTTTCATAATTCACAAAATGCATGGATTTTGGAATGCTAGAAAAAAAAAAGTTACAGAAAAGATATTCAATTATGTGACAAACATGTTCCATGTGTGACAACTAGTCCTGGTATGATGGTGCAGTATAGTTTAACCTTTGTTTTGCATTATTGAGTAGCAGTTCTTGTCTCTGGCATGGTTTGGAAACCTAGGCATCATTAATGAAAGGTAAGGTCTCACAAGCTGCCTTCCGGATTGTCAACAACATGCGAATGACAAATAATAATGGTAAAAATGTATTTTTTTTTCTTATTTTCAACACATACTTTAAGTAACGTTGCACCTACAGTGCATGTCAACTAACTCTCATTAGAGTATTAGTAGACTGTCTGCCTAATATCTACTAACTCTTTATTTTGATGGTCCCCCAACAGATATTCTACTAATGACTATAGTCGTTAACTTTTTAATTACTAACCCTAAACTTACCCCATACAGTCTAATAATACTCTAATTAAAAACTATAAAAAGTGCTTCTAAGAGATTACTTTTGCCTTAAATTACAGCATGTATTTGAGCACTACTAAATTTAACTGTGACAAAAATATAGCTGTACATCCTGTGGAAACTTTAAAAGTTGTTGTGGCAAGTGAGTTGTTTACTGAGAAACCCACTGAGGATGGTGTTAGTCGGTAGAGATGAGTGGTCATGGGAAACTTAAGCGAAGGTATGGGTGACAGGAGGACAGGAGCGGTACAATGAAATCGCTTTAACAGGTCTCATGATTTGCAAAACCGCACACACACACACACACACACACACACACACACACACACTTATAAGCACAGATGCACTCCTGCACAGAAGGCCATGCACATAAAAAAAAAAATTCACACATGCAAGGCCACTTCAACAGCGCACCCCGAACACAAGTTGATATTTTAAAACATGCATGCATTTCGTATCTTTAACAGAAATTTACATTTGATGGTCCCAAGAAACACAAAATCATGTTTTGCTCTCTTTTAGTGTGTTTTGGGGTCAGAACTAATGACATTCATATATATATGACAGACTTTTTACCAACACTGCTAGTGTTATGTTTATAATATATTATCATATATTTGAAGAGTTCAGATGCAAAAGCCTCTAAATGCCATTTGAAATTTTCTTCTAGAATGATAATTTTTATCAAGCTTGTATGTTTAAGTTCAGTAATTTCACTTAAATGACAATTCATAGGTAATCTTCATCCCCATTTAAGTAAAAGAAATTAACTAAAATATACAAGCTTGATAAAAATGATCATTCTAGAAGAAAATTTCAAATGACACTTAGAGGCTTTTGCATCTGAACTCTTCATTTATATAATGTTGTTTTTATTTCTCTCTTGAAAATGACAAATACTAATGGCCTGTCTGAGAAACTGAGATCAGGCTAACAAATAGCAGACTTTGAAACACTAGAAACCAAAATTAGTGTTTCAGCCATGCACAGTGGTGGAGGCGGAGCCTAAGTCAAGACTGAATTTTAACCCTTTCTCACAAAATCACATAGGAGGTGTATTGTGTATACACTAAATTATCAAAAAGAAAAAGAAAAAAAAATGAAAAAGATGAAAGCTTGAAGCTTTATTTATTTAATTTGTTTGGCAGGTTACAAGGCAAGGAAACATTCTTAATTCCTTATTTTGTGGAAAAAAATGTTCCCAATCCAAACAATTAAATAAAACAAATCTTAGTAACATGTAGCAAGTAACATGTAACAAACCTAAATATTATGGTGACACTTTACAATAAGGTTCATTAGTTAACATAATTTACATTATAACATTAGTTAATATTAACTAAGACTGAGCAATACTTTTCCAGCGTTTATTATGTAAGATTTTTGTAATAAAATACCAAAAAAATCACATTTATTATAACACTGTAATACATGTATAACTACATTTATTATCTTGATGAGACACCACTCTTGCACGTACTTTATAAGACAGGTGAGCAAATGTACATAAAAAAAATGTTATATAGCTCGACAACATGATGAAATGTTAGAATTCGATCAGTATTCAAATGTTGATCTAGCTTACAGGAATATATTTCGAATTGGAATGTATTTGAAATGTATTATAATAATAATGTAACAATATACAATTATTTAAGTGTTATTATACATGTTACACTATTGTGATTATACATTTGTTACATTATTATTTGGTTACATTATTCTTTTTGAAAAAAGTAACAACTCTTTTTGGAAAAAGTAGCGATTTTTTTAGGAAAAAGTATACAGCGTTTCTTTTGAAAAAATGACTGTAATTTTTTTTATTATAAATGAGTGTTTTTAGACATTTATTACAATGTATTTATATGTTTATTACAATGCAATTATACATTTATTACAGTGTTATTATATTACAATGTAATTTTATTTGTTATACATTTTTAATTAAGTTTTTTTTTACAATGTATTTATACTTTTTACAGCATTAGGCCTATACGTTTATTACAATGCAGTTATACATTTATTACAGTGTTATACATTTTTTACATTCATTATTTTGTTACATTATTGTTTTTGAAAAAAGTACAGATTCTTTTTATTACAATGTTACAGTTTTTACATTATTAATTATTTTGTTACATTATTCTTTTTGAAAAAAGTAGTGATTCTTAACGTTATCGTTTTCTCAGAGCTTAGGCGCCTGTGTAATAATAGTAGCCTAGGCTATTAAGCAACTCAAACATGCCAAACCAACAATACTAAAAACACAAAAAATGATTTTGTCATGGGCATTGCACTAGTTACTATAAATTATGCATAATTACATGCAACAAACCCAAACCCTATACTGCCCTACAAAGCAAAAAGGCAGTCACTACGCAGAGTGCAGAACTGAGAAAAATGACTTTTGCTAGGGCTTTTTGCAGTTACTTTACAAACGACTACCATTTTTCTCTAAAACGACACGCATTTAAGATAAGATGTTTTGTCACATAACAAAGGATGTCTTGAATGTCATGAAAATTTTAATAATTAATGCTTTACCAAAACTGCAGTTACTGCCTTTTTGCTTTGTAGGGCAGTATAGTAAACCGTAAAATGTTAATTAACATTACTTACAGTAGTGCTTAAATGTATAATTACCCTGAAACAAGAGCATCTTAAATAAATTAACCATTTCATTTTTTTGTTGTTGTAATAAACACTTGCAATTCTCACAAAAGCAAAGTGATTTAGTTGACCATCCATGTTTTAATTTGTAGTTTGTAGATTGTCTTAATTTAGCAGTTATCCAATTTTTTACCATTATATGGGGCTGTTCAATTGTTGTGGTCTGTGAACATGTTTTCAAGAAAAGGTTACAGGAAGTCTGTGCTGTCACGAAAAGAAAGACAGAGGTGTACAGTATAATCTTGCAGTATATCAAGACAAGCCAAAGACTGTGGTGAAGATGATGAATATTTGGATTTCTGTCATGCTTCTAAGTGAGATGTGTAAGTGTAGAATATATCTAAATACATTACCTGATTGTCAGAGATTTTATTTATGTTAAGTCACCTCCAATTTTCAGATACTTATTTAAATACTATTTTTTTCCCTGGATAGATCTTTTCTACATAATAATTTTTGTCCTCCGCAATGATTTTATTCTAAGAATTTATTACTTTCAACTATTCTGTTGTTGTTGCCTATTGTATTTATTTGCCTATTGAAAAAAAAAGAATGTTAAGCAATAAGCATCTCATAAATTAATTCCATGGTTTAAGTATTTTGGACTTAGTTTTCTGAAGTATGAGACTAATATAAATCCTTTTCATACAGAGGAATTAACAATATTTTATTGACTCTTTTTCTCCCTATAGACTCAACACTCTCAGAGGTTGTTTCTCAACCTGATCCAGTAATGTTGGTCTCTATTGGGGATGATGTTACTCTGCATTGCTTTTTTCTGGAAGATCACAGTGATCCAATTACTTGGTACAAGCAAAAATCTGGACAACAACCACAAGCAGTTGCAATGGTGCAGAAATTAGTCAAAACCCCTAATTTTTTCAACACTTTTGAATCCTCACGTTTTAGCATTGAGACAGACTCAAGCAAATGTCATTTAACGATTTCAAATGTCACTTCATCTGATGAAGCAATGTATTACTGTGGCTGGAGAAAATATGAAACTATTTTTGCTGAAGGCACATATTTAGCTTTAAAAGGTATGTGTTTCATCCTCGAGTAAATTTATTAAAGAATCAAATTAAATTGTATTTCTTACAACCATTAATTTAAGGGAAAAAAAAATCCACAGTAAACAAATACATTTGGACACTATGAACAGAGAGTCTATTTGAGAGATTATTTGTTACATATGATTATGTGCAATATTATATTCTAAATTATTTTATATTCTAAAATCATCAGAAAATAAGACATTTTGATTTAACTTGTGACTTTGTATATTTCAGATATAATCCCCTGCATAAATTGTCTCCATGTCTATTTAGGGTCACAAAACAACCAATATAAATCCCACGTGTCTGTTCTTCAGCATCCCGAATCAGAGACTGTCCACTCTGGAGACACGGTAACCCTGATGTGCTCTGTGCTGTCTGAATACAACACCGCAGATATCAGAATGTTCTGGTTCAGATCTGAATTCGGAAAATCAGAAATCCTCTACACTCAGAATCAGAGTAATCATTGTGAGACTGATTCTGCTCGGAACTGCACATTCAGTCTGTCCAAGAACATAGTGAGCCCAATGGACACTGGCGCTTATTACTGTGCTGTAGTCACTTGTGGAAAAATTCTGTTTGGAAATGGGACAAAATTAAATATGGGTAAGTGCCTAATTATTTTCTTTTCAGGAATTTTAATATTTTGTATGGAACATTATAATATTTAGTTTCATAATAAATGGTGGAGTTGCTCTTTTTAAAGAATATCATTTTTTGCACGTGCTCTTTGACGATCTCTTTATGGCAATTCACAGAATATGGGGAATGTCTGTTTATACCACAAAGCAAATGTTATATTTAAATGCATGTAATAGTATATTCATGCAAGTCTTTTAAATATATAATTTAAATGATAAATGTACATCACATACTACACAATGCATTTTGTCTTACTGTCCTACAGTAAAGCCAATTGATCCTATGGTGATAATCTTGGGTGTATTACTGGGTGCCTGTGTGGTTGTGATTACTGCACAAGCTATTTTAAGTCATAAAAAGGAAAAATATTACTGCAACAAAGGTGAGTGTTTTGATTTCATTTGTCTCTTAAAATGATTAGTATAATGGCTGGTAAAACACAATTGTAGGTAAGTCTGACCTATTCAAATCTTAATTACCACATGGTGCTACGTTTTTTTGTTTTGTTTTGTTTTTTTAATACCACAGACTTCCATTATAACATATGTTTTTTCGTCTTTTAAACTAGAAAAAGGGCTAGAAGACACTGAAAAAGAACACCCCACCAGTCAGGTGTGCATGATAAATGAATTTTTATTAATTGTTTCATGTATTTAATATGATAATATGGTAGCATTTTACAATACGTTTCCATTAATTAATGTTAGTTGATGCTTATTTTTTAACTGACATTGAAAAATAAGCAATAACTGACATTAAATATTAGCAATAGATTTCTTACAGTATTATTTTTTTATTTGTTAATGTTAGTTAATAAAAGGACAACTGTTTCTTGTTATTGTTAGCTCAGGTCTATTAAATAATGTTAACAGATACAACTTTTGATTTGAATAAAGTATTAGTAAATGTTGAGGTTAATATTAACTAAGATTAATTAAAAATGTTAATTAATTAATTAATTAAAGTATTTATATAGTTCATGTTTACTAATAGTTAACTAATGTTAACAAATGGAACCTTATTGTAAAGTGTTACCGATACTGTTTTATGCAATTATTGAATTTTAATTTTCTAATTTAATAAAATTTTGGACAAATTGTACATTACATTACAAACAGTACATTGGGTTTTCATGTTTTATGGGGACTTGAGATTCTATTCCCTTACACTAACCCTATCTCTAAACCCCTCACAGAAAATATCTCGAGTTACTTGACTGTAACCCTGGTACCTGAAATAGCGGGAATGATTTGCTGCACTTGATTTTAAGTCTTAAAGGCAAGGCAAGGCAAGTTTATTTATATAGCACATTTCATACACAATGGCAATTCAAAGTGCTTTACATAGAAGAAATTAAAATAATCAAAAGAAATTGATTAAAGGGAAAAACGTCCTTGTTTGACTGTTGTGAACGTGTGTGGCGAACACACTAAAGAATTTGGCTTAAATAAGTTCTGAGGCTGATGTCTTTCGAATGTGCACATCAGAGGCGACCTTTAGTCATAAGCCCCTTTTCAGCGTTACACTCGTTGTCTTTTGACTTTTTTCACAGTGATCCTGCATAGGTATGAATGAACTGCTCGTAAAAAAAAATCCCGGTCGACATTTGTTAAGACATCTGCTTTACAATGCTTATGATACATATTACAATGCTCATGATAACTTTTGTTAACTCTACAATAAGTAAATCCACTTCACCAGCTAATTACTCCTCGACAGCGATGCCATAGAAATATAGAAATCTCCGCAAGACGACCGCCAAAAACGAAAGTTCAAAGACAATATTCTAAAGATGACGGTGCCCACGTTTCTCTGGTGCATAAGGTCTATAAATAAACGTGTGACAGGTACGCTCATCAGGTAATTTTGTTTACAGAATGTCCTGAACACGATCTCAGTGCGGCAATGAAGCACAGCAGCTCGTCCCTGCTTTTTCATGGAACATGGTTTCAGTCAAGTAACCCGAGATGTTCCCTTTCAAAAGTTACTCTCAATGCTGTGCATGATTTTAAGCGCTATGGGGAACAAGAATACCAATGCTGCCACACTGGAAGTGTCTAGACCCCTCAAGGTTGTGTTGTGTGTGCGCACAAACACGAGAACGACCTCAGACATGAGCCTGGGATGTCTATTCAAGGACTTGAGAGCCCATAGTATGTGACCATCCAAACTATAGAATCGAATAAATGTGTGCATAGAGGACCAGCCTGCCGCCTCACATACTTGCTGCAAGGGGGCGCCTCTTGCTGGATGCAACCCCCCTGGTAGAATGAGCCCTAATGCCTAGAGGCAAAGCTTGACCACACACCTTATAGGCTAGAGAAATAGCATCCCTCACCCAATGCGACATATTTTCCTTTGTGGCAGCCCCCAGAACAAATTAACAGCTACTCTGACTATTTTGCACGAATTGGACTCAGTAAGTAAAGTGTCTCCTCCTCCAGCGTAGTGAATGGCAGAGGACGGAAGGCTTCAAGAACGACCAAATGTGGGGTCGAAAATTGAACTTTTGGAAGTTGGGTGAGATTGCAAAATAGCCCAGGGGCAAAGTCTAAGCAAGATGGTGAAAAAGACAGAGCCTGAAAATCCCCTCTCTAGTGACGAGATAGTCATAAGGAAAAACATATGTAGAGTCAGAAGCTTGACCGGCGCTGACTTTAGTGGTTCAAATGGGGTTGAAATGGGCGATCAGAGGGTGTTTCCCCACTAAAACCCTGTCAATCAGAGCATGGCAAGCTGAAACGGCGGCCACAGGTACTCAGAGAGTAGCAGGACTTGTGCCTGCTGACAGCTTTTCCTGCAGAAATTCCAGCACTAAAACAATCTGGCAGTGGACTGGGTCTGCATGATGTATAGTACAGTACATCACCTTTCAAAGACACACCACTTAAGGACGATACACTAGAATGTATCTTCTAGTGGAGGGAGCCCTATAGCACTCAGAATGGTCTCTACATCCGCTGAAAGTCCAGCATCTCTTAGCCAGTCCCTAAGATACCTCCTGTTCGATATCACCCATAGCAAGCCGCCAAGAAGAAATATTATTCTAGATGCAGACTGTGGTCGGTCAACGAGGTCATATCAGTAATAGTCACGACCCTTGTTGATGGACCTTAGCCAGGACTTCTGGGAGCAGGGCGATCAGTGGAAATGTGCCATGCCGTCCAGACCCAGGGAGGGCTGAAGGAGTCAGGGGACGTTTCTTGTGAAGTGAAGAGGTCCACCTCTGCTTCGTAAAATCTTTCCCAAATCTGATTGACTACCATGGGATGGAGCCTCCAATCCCTTTTTGTGGACAATATCTGCTCCCATGCTTCTAGGAATGTAAATCGTCCTGAGGGACAGGAACTTTTATAAAGTGGACGCAGCGATCAGCGCTTGTGCTTACCATAAGCATGGATTTTAGAAAGGAAACAAAAGTATTTGCGTGTGCCCTTACCCTTATTTGCGTCTGGCGATTAGCCATTTGGAAGAAATACCCATGCTCAGAGCCACAAGTATCATCAGTAGAACTCTTTGAAAGTGATGGAAAGTAATTTCCTGACATACTCTCATACAGAGAGAGCCTGAAGCTTCGCGGCTGAGACACGAATACATAGTTTTAAATGCTGCGAGGCGTCTGCGAGCATCTTTGATGAATTATTGGCTCTTTCATACTAACAGATTGGCGAGCGTTCATCACCCGCTAATCCCCCACGGTTTGCACACGATAACACCCTGACCTGTCGGCGAGCTCAACAATTTGCAAATCGGGCTTAAATCTGGCTTAAAGACATGTAGGCTTTAGCTCACCGTTTTCGGTGAAATGCCATGTTTGTAGTCGAGCAGCGATATGCAAACTGTTGCTTGCAAACTTTGCATTCGACTTTTTTTCCATTATCTTTTTTTGTAAAATTATCTGATTGCCCTGAAAACACCTCCATTAACACATCAAAAAAAAAAAATAAAAAAAATCGAACAATCAGAATTTTTTTTTCGGAGGGGGGAACCCGGCTGGATTGCGAGGCCCCTTAGTGGCGCGAGGCCCTGTGCGGTTTCACAGTTCGCACAGCCCTTGCAACGGCTCTGTGCACAGGTGTGCGTCAACAGAGACAGAAGGACAACCCGATCTGAAGAGAGAAGGAAAGAAAAGGAAGGACCCATCTCCTGCTCCTCAGCCAAGATCGACTCGCGATATGTGAGACGAGCGTGAAGCACTTTAATGGAGGGCAACTCACAGTGCTTGCACTCGCCATTCTCTAGATATGATTATTTTTTTCAATTCTTCTTTTCATTGTAAAGAAAGTGAGCGAGAAAGGCTTTATTCCTGCCTGAAAACAACTAACTTCTAACAAAAGGGTAGTGTCATGATCCTGTTTCTTACTCTCATTCCCACTCACACATAACGCTATTTCCTCATTATCACACACACCCCCTTGTTATCCTGGTTTCCCCTCCTCAGCTGTCTCTCATTCACTAGTTAGTGGTGTTCCGCCATACAATATAGTTATCCTCTTTACACGCTTATAAAGCAAAACGTTTTATTTTGTGTCACCGTCCTAGGTCGAGTTACACTACTTGTGTAACTGTATTTAAATAGGGAAAACGTGGCGGTGTTTGGTCGCTTCTCTGGCCCATATTGAATTAACTGGGCTAATTAAGTGCTATCAAAGCGTCTCTTGCGCCAGAGCGATTGAGTGCACGCACTGAGACGACAGAGGTATGCATCAACTCATCATAGTTAAGGGAATAACATAGTTTAAAATGAAAAAATGGTGGACTATCTTTTTAAAATAAAGCGCAGCATTGAGAGTAGCTTTTGAAATTGAACTTTCTGCATTTTCAAAAAAAAAAAAAAAAAAAAAAAAAAAAAACATGAAAAAAACATTTGAAACATGAAAAAACATTTTCCTTTTATCAAATCTTTCTCTCATAGGAACATGATGCAGTGGAATTGAGTTATGCTGCATTGCATTTTAAGGAGGGAAAAAACAGAAGAGTTCGAAGGAATGGGGACCGTGTTCACCTCAAGACAAACACTGTTTGTGTTTTCAACCAAATCAATAATCCCACTGACCATACTATTGAGTACAAAAATATCTAGAATTTATTAGATACAAAAAAATGTAGTGCAACTTAAATTTGCTAATTCATTTACTGGCAGTGTCTAACTTTTTGTAAATTGTATTACTGCACCTATTTTTTTTTTGACCAGGATGTTTCATTTGAGAATGATTGTCTTTTGATTGTGATGGTTGTCTGATTTGATCTCAAGCTTTAAAAACTGGTTGTATGACTCTGTAAAATAAATAAATAAATACAATAAGTTAGTGCAAAGTTTGGAATTATTGTTTTATTGGACACATTTTCAAATCTGTTCAAATTAAAGCTCTCAATATGGTGTGATTTTATACAGCGATTAAAAAAAAATACTTAAGTACTGTATATTAGTAGCAGTTTTTGTGATGTTATTGACAGGTTAAAATGACAAGCTTCTCCGAAACATTTGTTTCTAGAAAATTTTGTATTTTGAAAAAGTCTTTCAGAGATTTGATAAGTACATAAAGTTTACTTTACCTCTGGATCAGGAATTTCAATATGGATGGACATGTGGTCCTGGGAATGGAAGATAAAGCTATAAATAGACAAAGATATAAATAATTTTTTGTCTATATAAATCATTAAGGACTACCAGGTCTGCCTTTTTACCTATTATAAATGAAGAGTTATGTAGTTAAACAACGCATTCTCACCCCAAGGCGTCACCTTTGACCATGCTTCAATATTTGACGTTTTAGGCACCCTTTAGCGTCACTTACATGACGCGATCCTACGGCGTCATCTAACTGACGCTAAAGGAAAGCATCAGTTAGAGGACGTGGTTAGGTTTAGGTGTGGGGTGGGGGTAGGGTACACACGATCCTAGGGCGTCATCTAACTGACGCTAAAGGGCGCCTAAAGCGTCAGATATTGAAGCATGTCCAAATGCTTCCCAAGGCGTCAGTTAAGTGACACCTTGGGGGTGAGAATGGGCTGAGTTAAAACACTTACCTCTCTGGGTTTTTTTGGTTTAAAATTTCTTGAAAGCATTACTCGTACTTTTACTGTTGGCATCAGGACAATGGTGACACCAAAATAAAATGATTCTGAAGCTGAAATACAGAATTATTTAAACGAATATGCACTCTGTCACTCAGATATGTTTAAAACAATGTAGGCCACTTTTTCTGGAAGACATTTGGCATTAACAGGACGCACACATACGCATTATTATACATTACATTCAACATTAATGTAGTGCCGACACTAAAAATCTGAGAACTTGAATTTTTTTTCCCTCACAAAGAAAGTTATTTTGGGTGAACTAGACAATACATATTGTCACTCTCCACAATACATATTGTTGCATTTTTGTATTGCGATATGTAGTGACACAATATATTATTACACTCCTATTAAATATAAAAAGTAATTCATAAATTTCATTTTAATCATTTGACAAGTTCAGTACAAACAGTAAATTTATGTTCTTTTTTTAAAAATCAGAAAGAAATTAATTTCAGCTAGAACAAGAGATCACCTGTAGAGTTAAAGGATGATACATTTAATGCCAAAAATACTCCATTTCCAAACTCAATCTCAGAGAAAATCTTCACTCCACAGTAATAGACCCCCTCGTCCCAATGACTGATGTTAATGATACTAAGAGAAAGACCTTTCTTTGATCTGCTGATATTGAAGAGTGGGACAGGACGATAACGACATAAAGGTTTTCAGTGAAAAAACATTGCAGTCACATTGGCACCAGATTCAACCGTGATAACAGCGCAGATGGAGCTGATGGAGACCAACGCATTCTCATCCCAAGGCTGACGCTTTTGCCAATGCATATGCATCCACATGCCACCCTTTAGCGTCAATATAACACACTCAGAGTACTGGTATAGGTTTAGGTCTGGGGTAGGGTTAGGTTTGGACCACTAGGAGGCGCCCATATATATATGTCGCCTTGGGATGAGAACGGGCTCTAAAAACATGCCATAACTTATTGATCATAACATGTTTTACAGTGCAGAAGTACAATTCCTAATGCCACTTTTTCAGGTTTCACAGTCTACTGTGGCTGTACAACTGATATAGTTTAAATAGTAAAACTACACTTACACAAATTGAGATGCACCACAACTGCCTGGATAATCTGGAATCATACATTCCTACATATGAGACGTATAACACATTAATTTGCTGCTGTGGGCTTCCTGTTTTATCTGTGAGATCTTTGCAGACATTGTTCACTGATCAAAGAGTGATGGAGTTGTTCAAAGGAAACCACAAGTTTCCATTACACATATTATATATAAAGGCCATGCAGTTTCCTTACTATTCAACATTGGACTTTTAAAGTTTATTATGTACCTGTATGAAGTTAAAATTAAACGGAACTCTGTTATAAATAAAAAGCAAAATAAAAAGTAAAACTAGAGAGGCTTTTGTCTTGACTGGTGTTGACTGCTGGTAATGCAAATGCTAACACCATTTGTCATGTTAAGGGCATCTCTTGGGTCAAGCATGCAAACCCTGAGTCATGCAGCAGCCTCGAAGGACACACTCATGTATGAGGCCAGTGAAGGAGATGCTGCGTCTGAGCCAGGAAAGGTTCAGCAGGTCGTGATGTTAATATGGTGAGGCAGATCTTTCAGTGTTCACTGGAAAAGTAGCTTCATAATTCATCTGAAAATGCTCTGGAAATATTATTAAGAGCAGAAACTGTTAAATGCATTTTTGCATCTGCTATATCTTTTTACCATTTTGCCCATCTAATATCCAGTGTAATACATGGACATTTTAAATAAACTTTCACATAATCATATTGTCATAATAATCATAATCATAATCATATATATATATACAGCAGCCTATGTATTTTCCCAATCGTTCTTCATTTTGTAAGTTTTGCTGCCCTCATAAGGTGAACTCTGAGATTGCAGGTAATGACAACCCAATGAACCGGTGATATGCCTAATTCCCAACCTCTACAAGAAAAACGGGACCATTTAAGATGGTAGATATTTCGTTTTAAAGCTCTTTAACCCATTTAAGCCCACCGGCAACTATAGTTGCCGCAGTGTATAGTCGTCATTTTCCTTGTGTGAGTATTTTTCTAGATGTTTTCCATGTTGTATGTCGCAATGTCATGCAAGGAAACAACCAAATAAAGGATTTCAAGAAAAAAAAAAGGTATTCACTTCCTTCCTGTCACATGAGGCTGTCAACTTCCTACCCCTACTTCCAGGAAGCATGGCGAAGTCAAACCCTCCCAAAGAAAGCTAATTTTCATATTACTAAAAAGTATTTTTTGTTGACATATATATATCTAGACAATCATGAAGGTCTCTAGAATCCTCTAAACAAAACAAATCTTACAATAGATCTATAGTTTTTTGTATACTTAGTCAAAAGTCCAAGCGGTGGGCAAATGCCTTGTAAGTACATATATCATGGGGAAATGGGGTATACTGTGTTAATAGGTTAATAATTCAAGGTTATTGGACTTGTTTAATAACTTTACCCTTGTATGCACTGTTATTTTAGTTTTTTGCCATTTTGTCATTTGTTTTTTTTGTTATATATATATATATATATATATATATATATATATATATATATATATACATATATATAATTTTTACTTCAATCTATTTATATGTATTTAACTTTTTGATACACAATGCCCTGTTATGGCTGCACTTTGTTCTGCACTCTACCACTTTAACCATTGTGCGCTGCTCATTTGAGGTTTACATTTGAGGTTTACAGGCTTTTGTGGTGTCAGAGAGCCCAGGCAACAAAATGTAATTTTGTAACAAATTTTGTACAAATGTAATTTGTTACATTTTGTAACAAATTACATTTTTGATATATGCATATCTACATATTATGAAATCATAATTATAACAATATAAGTTACTTTTTGTAAAAGTTTAGCAGTTTTTGTACTAAAAAAAAAAATCAGTTTTTCAATAATGTTACATTATGATTAGAATCAAACCTGATCAGGATGTTACAAAGAGAAAAGTTCTTTCTGATTTTGAGGATGAATTTTGTCCATTGACAAAAATCATTTGATTCTATAACATTATTGAAAAACAGTTTTTTTTCCAGTACAAAAAAGTTACTTTTATTGTTATAATTGTGATTTCATAATATCTAGATATGAATACAACTGGAAAAACTTGTGAAAATATTTCTTTCATTTAGTCAAACAGCAAATCGCAAATAGTGGAGCTCTGCAGCCATCTACTGGTTAAAGTGATAATTTGTTGCTTTTAAAACGGCATTTTCCAAAAGATTGGCAAAAATCTTACATTAAACCATGTCAAATTATCCATGTTATCCCCATAAATGAAAGTTAGAAATGTGGGTCAAAAAAATACCCAAACACCACACAAGGTTTAAGACAAATGGATTTGTTGTTTGTTGTGTTTTTATATTCAAGACATTATAAGCTATAGATTCCACTTTTTTGGGTTCGCATCAAACATTCTTCGACTTTTATACACAATAAATGTGTTTATGAATAAAGATTGAGCTGTTGAAAGCAGTTATTTTGAGATAGATGCCAAATGTTCTCCTCCTATTCATATTTAACATTGATGGGGTGCCCACCGGCAACTATAGTTGCCGCACATTCAAATACGATTTTCAAGAAGAAAAAAAAAACCTGAGGAAATAAATGCAGAACATGTTCACATAGGACATTATTAACACGACTATATGCATGAAACCATTCAGAAAAATTTGGGCACAAATGGGTTTAAGCTCTTTAAATAGAACTGTTTGGTAATTTATAAACATCATCATTTGACATTACACTCTGGCCTGAACTAATATAAATTTTCACAGAAGTATGGTGTGAAATCAAACCTCCATCACAGAGACAGGGCCTACATCATAGAAAAGACTAAATCACATTAGAAATCCTGCTTCAAAGGTAAAATTCATAAGCTAGGTTTTGAACTTTTGACAGCAAATACCTTCTTTGAGGTAGGCCTACATATTTCTTATGTAGCCTAAAATAGTGCACAGAAATGTGGAAACAACTAATTTGAGTTTAGCCAGGATATATAAACTACTGCACTACCAATAGGCTACATTACAAACAACTAATAACTATCACTATCCCCCCAAAATTGGTAAACCACCTGTGTATAGTTAAACAATAAACAGTCTACAACTAGACGTCAGCCGTTTGACTCATACACTTTTAAAGGTGTGGTAGGCAATTTCAGAGAGGCTAGCAATAGCAAGCTAGCTTTGAAATCGCATGATCCCCCCTCATTTCAGAGCATCTCCAAAGTCACGTCTCCTACAAAGCACATGAACGTGC